ACTTAGAAACTGAGTTTTATCACTTATCTTCTCATCTTCCTATGAAGGTATACACTCAAAAATCAAGGCTAATGTTAAAATACATGCTGGATGGCTTTCCCCTTCCTTAGAGTAGGTTACGTGATTCAATGAAACATTAAACCAAAGACTCTAAAAAATGAGCTCTTCAGGGTAGATTTCTGGACCCAGTGAGCCTGGAAAGGGCCACACTTTTCTACTCTTTTCCAATGTGTAACCACAACAGTACATTGCCTTTCAAGGCAGTCATGCAAGACTCATTGAATCAGTAAAAAGTGGCAACATCAAAGACTTTTTGAAGCACAGCAGCATTTCACGCCTGTTTCAGGTGGGCTTGCTGCCAACTTAGAAACCCACCTGTGTGTGATACATTACAGACTGGGAAGCACTAACTGCATCAGCTTACTTTAACCAGAGATGGAAATCTCAATAAGCCTTAGGAAATACGAACACAACCACAGCCTCTGTTTGAGAGGCTCTCTCTTGTCGAGAGTGACTGAGCTCTCAGTGCCATTGGGAGCCAGACCACTTGGGCTGCAGTCACACATCTTGTAAAATCAGGTAGAGTATCTTAAGATATTAAATTCCCTCTTCTCTTGTGCTCTCACTCACCATACACACTTGACCCTCAGCCACTGCATTCCACCAAAGACCACTCAAAATAAGCCAGTTGAATGTGCACACATTAAAAAGAAAATCGGTGTCTTCACAGTGTGTTGCCTGAGTCCATGCCCAGAGGTCAAGACGAAGTCCATTGTATTATTTCTATTCTAGATAGCCTTATTTATGGTAGCACCTGAGGAGAGGTGTAGATCTGAGGTATACAGAAGCTGAGTGACTTGCTCAAGGCCTCTCAGAAAGCATTTCACAGGGCAGGGATTGAATGCCCTGGTCTCCTGAAGGCCAAAAGAGCTGCCACGACTGGCCCTCCTGAGTGCTATCCCCTACAGTATCTCGAAATGCTATAAAGCTTCCTGGTCCATGTAACATTGAAGAACAGCATGAGAACTGGAGAATCTTATTTAGATGACAGCATCCAGGAAACACACTCTGGTTCCATAATTAAGCAATAAGGAATAATAAACAGTATAGCAGTCGTGGAGTAATCACAACCTTTTGGTTGTGAAGTGCTTCAAATGTCCTTGGGGAATGATTATCTCCTGATAACTACAGACTCTGTGTTGTTGCCTTACTCTTAATAAAGAACAAAGATGTGTCTGGCAGTTTTAAACAATAGTTTAGAGAGAGATGCTTGCAGAGGGACAATTATGCCATGCTACTTTGTAAGTACTTGCAACAAGCACAAATATATCTTGGTTGCTGCAACTCAGATATAACAATACATGGCGACACAGGGCGAACACATACCCTTCCAAGACTTCTCGTGGCAAAGAGAGACATGCTGCTGAGAGGATCTGCAAAAGCCCCTGCTGTTTGTGCTGACAAGGTAGCAATGATAAAGTAGTACATTATCAAATGTGCATGAAGTCCCATTAGCAAGTCATCTTTCTGTTTTATAAGTACCTAAAATAAGGGTCTTAAGATTCACACACAATTAGGCTGACTAGGGGCAACCAGGTTATCAACCCTCTGAAAATAAGAGGCAGGGCAAGATATAAAAGGCTAATGTAGTAGCTAATTCTTGTCAGTTGAGGAGGAGAAGAGAATACGAAGCTGTGACAACTCACTTTGCGGTAGCTCACCAAGTAACTTTAACTCCCTCAGACATGGCTACACTGCCAGACCACTTGGTTAGGTGTCTATGCATGCCTGAGTCTACGCTAACATTTTGAAAAATGCTAGCTTAGAACTCAGTCTTTTGTGAACTGCCTATTTTTTGCAATTCTTTTTGGAAAAATGCCTGCACAGAGAGGGGAAAAAAAAATCACATTGTAGGGCTCCATGTTTAATGTCTGTTTACAAATAAGGCAACCTTTCTAATGACCCATCCTATCATCTCAGCTTGGTTTTCAAGCCTCAGAATGGATGCTTCCTCTTGTATACCACCTCCGGTAATAGGTATTCTGCAGGCCAAATGATGCCCTTAGGAACACTCACGCATGCACACGAAGGGACAAATTATTAAGTCCATACTTATGCAAAATTCCCTGTAGATGATGTCTGAAAGAATTCAGCATTGCTGAATTATGCATAACTTGCTAATGCACTATTATTGCATCTACCACAGGTCTCCATAG